ACACGGACACTTTTGGCTGCCCCAGCAGACTCTAGTCTTCATTACTCCCACCATCATCAGTACCCACGGCTCGAGCCTCGTTCTAGAACCTCTGCATAGGCGGGCCTGGGAGAATAGATGGGCTAGTGTTTTAGGTCGAGAACAAGTATCTCGATTGCTAGCTGGCTCGGTTGCTTCAGAACAATCAGGTTCGAACACATTCATATTCTTCGCCCCGTTTTCCCGGTCAAGGGTCTAGGCTCGTGGTAGATGTTTAGGGAGTCGGCCCTTGTTTGTATCACACCGCCAAATCAAGTTTCTTTCTGCAATACAATCACTATGTCCCAGTGCGTAGTAACCAAATTTCCTTCGATCAGCCACGATTCCCTAGTGGATACGACACACGCGATCTAGCCCCGATCATGGTGTTAACTCCTTGCGGGCGTCGTCCCTGATCCGCGATAACGAGCGTCACTATGGATCTTCAAACCCTTCCTTTAATCGCCGTCCTTAGGGTAGCAGTACAACGAACGCCGGCCACACCTGCAGTCGCAAGTTCTGGAATAACACACTCTAATATTGGCTAGTGCTCTGCGCTGGACGATCGTGCTGTGTGTTTTCTTCGTGTGCCCTTGTGCCCTTCATATCGGTTAATCTCACATTAAAACCCAGAGCAACTAAACCCAGCCCAACCACAACCACAATATCATCCATCACCTTCATAGCCATGATTGATTGATCATACCTTCGGAGATGAGCATCCTTGCATATCTCCGTCGTATCAAACGTCATGGACCACAGATACATGACTCCGTTGGATCGTACGTACGTTCTATGAAAGATCTGAAAGAAATATAAGGTCGCGATTCATTCGGAGTAGTATGTAGCCACTCGCGAGATCGAGATTGGGAACCTCGACTCTACGTGGGTTCTAGATCCATAACGATTCCAAGTGGGGAAAGTTCATTCGTCCGTCTTATCTTCTTTGTGCGTCTTGGAAGGGAAGGCGAAGCTAAGAAATATGTACCGGAGCGGAGATAGATATCAGTCTGTATAGGGAAGTTCTAGAACCTTTGGTCAATATGACATTGTGTGAGTCGTATACTGGGCAAGCAACCCCAAAAATGTTATTTGTATTACACGAATTCACATACGCTCAGCTTGAAATGTTAGGCTCTATAATTGCGCCGAATCGACATCCCATGGCTTCGAAGCCCCGTGTACGATTAATATCACTCCACAGGGCCTCGGCCATGGATTCACCGAGGCAATACGACGTGCGCATAGATATGTGTATGGAGCTATAACTCGGTATTCACTCGCATTCCGACCCCAACCGCACGCATCGAATTGCACGAGCATGGGCAAGACCAGCAACAACCGGCAACCGGTTCAATCGGCCCGCCTCTCCTAAGTAAATTATTCCCCGGTATTAGTAACCACCGGCTAAACCTCAGCTCATCCCATAGCTCAAACAGCTGATCTCGCTGAACGGGGAACCCTCAGCTGTAGAAGGGTAAGCACATACAAGTTCTCCGTGGACATGGGCGTAATTTTGATATTATGTAGCGCGAGGCCTGATGGTTAGGGGCGGCACGCGGCCTGGTGTTGACTGTAGCAAGTGGCTAATGAGGAAAGTGACCTAAGTCGGTAAGTACAATTGAGAAGCCAGGGCCCAGGGAAGAGAGAGAGACGCTGGTCGATCATTTACGTATAATATCGATGGTGAGTCACTTTGCAATTAATTGATAGACGAATGTAAGTGGTCATGCCTGATGGACCCAGCTTTGCAACCTGCTTCATATATACAGTACAACACTTGTACTCGTGATAATGCTGTTTATGTTCAGCCGTACGTTGGGTGCATTGGGGAAGAGAAAGTGACTGGAAATGGACGGCGAATCATGATGGACATTCGGCGAGGAAGATGTTGTGCATGTGCCATGCAGTGCGACAGAGAGATCGGAAGTGGGCGGATAAGATGAATGTATGAAGATCGCGCTTGATTTGCTGGTCACTGGGTATGGTTTGCATATACTTTACTGGCTAAAGGTGCCAGAGTCACTCTGCTACGGGTGATTTGCCGGAGGACGTATATAGACGTTCGTCATGGAGCCGGGACGGGAGAACATCACAGATATGATATGTGTATATATAACTCAGTAAGACAAATGATGTTGTTGCATGTGCCGCGTTGGGTATTTAGCAGGAAAGCCGTCTAGCGAATGTCTTGTAATACTGAGAGGCTCCGTGAAACGTCCAATTGTACGATTAATTGGTCTAGACCGCGCATAACAACAATATCTGGGGAAAATGAGGGCGTTACGGGTCCGTTGCCGCGCACCGCATATAGCCTGAGGAAGCCCGGGAAATGCGTTCAGTACGGCCGGCCCTAGTGCAAGTCAACATGGATACCCAAAAAGTCATGTGGAACATTGCTGTATAGTGCGATTGTAGAGAGCGGGTCAGACTCCTCCTATCCTGGTAGGCGGCACATATCGCGCATCGATGGATAGAATGGAAGAATCATTTTTCAAAGTTGAAAGAGGAAAGCAAGGTCGCGGCGCAAGCCGGATATGTAAATAAGGAGCGTATCAACGCTTGTGCATGAGTTTGCGCTTGATACGCGAATTGATCGAACCACATGGACTTCGTACGTAGTAATCTCGCATGCAGAGGAGATCGTTGAGGCTAGGCCTGGATCAAGTGGTGAGTTTTACAGACAAATTCGCGATGGACCCGATCTGGGTTAGTGAGATAGTTAATTCGAGATTGAATGTCTTGATCTTACAACAACAGGTAATATGGGCTTGTGGGCTATGATATTCACCTTGGCCTGGACCGCACTACGGAGTGCAGCAGGTTCAGGTACTAGGCTCGGAGAGATGATTGCGCTGGTGGGAAGGGAAGCTGTACGTATTAATGTGCCTATGTAGCTGAAGAGAAGATCATTAGCTCCACTCTTGAACACTGTGCTCTTACGTGGATTAGGGTGACCAATCAGAAATATGAATGGAACCTGAGACGTTCTGGAACGTTTCCATTTATATCTATGTGTCGGAACGAGTTGTTTTACTGCTATTACCTTTCCTATTACCTTTCTACATACATCTCGCCTGGAAAGCGAAAGTGAGCGTTGACAAGGTGGTCCGGACAGGTGAGCGGAGGGGAGAACTAGCACCGCAGATGGAGTTGCACCTGAAAAGGGGGATTTAAGATACAATTGAATGTGATCAGCTGAAAATACGAATAAATTAAAACCGGGTAATATGTTTGTATTAGGTCGTTTACCTGGTCCCCCCTTCATTTCTCTTTACTGTCCACTCTCCGTTTCACAAGTATGGCATATATATATCCCATCCCTCACCGTTGTCCTGCATCATTCCTCCCTTCACCTTCACCTTTCTCTTCGCAGGAAGAAAAACAGGTCTGCACTTGGGTTATAACCTGTGCTAAGACTATCGGGAAGGATCGATCGAGGAGGATCCACGATACAATAAAACAATAACCTGAGCTCAGCGGTACCTGGACGAGCCCTCTTGCGCTTTGCTTTCCTTCTCGTTTTTACTTGAGCTTGACGATCCTATTCCTATTTGCCTGCTTTCTTGTCTCACATATCACATCTCCATATAACCTTGGCAAGAAACCACCCGCTTACCCACAACTTACTCCAAATACGCTCATCTCCACAACCCCCACGGGATAACTCACGCGATAAACTGTAACTAATACCGCCCACAATACTCACGGCCTCGCCACACAATCAAAGCCTGAGAGAATCACAAAGTCCGTGTTGGGGGTCTAAATAAAATATTTCCTTATGCACATGCCAACTTGCACTCATCTCCCATCCGTCCCTGTTCCTTCCAAAGCATTCACCTTGACTTCTTCCTCTTCTTCTTCCTCTCAATCCACGACGATCGTCATGTCGGTTTCTATCCCACCATCACCATCTCGCTCACAATCGCCAGCTGCCTCTTCTAAGAAGAGAATGAATACAACCTCCCCGGATCATCAATCGACTTCGGGATCGACGTCACCGACAATACAACGACACCAACACCAACCTTCTCAAACGTCTGTCTTCCTCCAACAACCTTCTCCTTCATCTCCTCTCTCCCCTTCATCCTCTTTCATCTCGCTCGCCTCCGGACCATCTCCCCCTCATTCCCCCGCCACCGCTAACCCCACAGGAACCACCACCACCACCATCGAAACGACAACAACTCGTCCTAGAACCTACTCCTCTTCTTCTTCCCGCTCAGGCCGTACAAAAATAACAGCATTACCTTCTATCAGCCAAGATTTAAACCTTTTGCCGTATATGACTCCAGATCGATGTGCGGTGGTGGTGGCGAGGACGAGTAGTAGATGGGACGAGAAAGTCAGAGAAGAGATGGTAAGCTTTCTTTTGCTCGTACTTAACGCGATCCTTTCCTTCCTTGGAGGCCTTTTTCGTATCCCCTTTCTATTGTTTGAATACCACTCATGCTAACCCATCTCGCTCTAGCTTTTCGACTCTCTCTCGAAAGATAATCCTTCTCCAACAGCGGTGACGACCTCCGCCCCTATGTTAGCAAACACCCGTTTGAGTCCAGCATCTCGCTCAACTTCATCTCCTTCCAAACTTCACCTCACCACCTCCACCTCCACTTCCACTCCTACCGCCCGTACCCAGACTTCCTCGCACTTACGAGCCCAGTCCCATTCTCATCCGAGTCAGTATCAACAGCATCAGTACGATGGGTGTAAGAATCCTAGAAGAACGTCGGGACATTGTTATGCTCGTTCTGGGTTTGCGTTTGGGTTTACACCTTTGGCGAAGACTGCGGTTTCGGGTGGTGGTGGCGTTGCAGATGAGCCTGTGAGCGAAGGGAGTGATCCATCGGAAGGAGAGTACGCTCATAGGGTGAGTTTTTTTCTCATCGTTCCGTATTCAGATTCGGGTTTTATTTAAAATTTTTTTCAATGCAGAGAAAGAGCGATGCGAGTACGATGTCTAGTTCTTCCGCCAATTCGGTGGGTAGGAGTGGGAGGAGGATCATCTTCAGTGTGGGTGGTCCTGAGGAGGATGAAGATGTTTTTGAGGATGGGTACGGAGGAGAAGAGGAATGAGGAGTTGTTGTGTTTTGCGAAATGGAATGGGCGTTCCATTCCGTAACGTACGTTTTTTTTTTTTTTAGCGCGCCTTTGCGCTGCTTGCTTGCTTGCTTGGGTTGCATCGCGTCACGTCGCGTCGAGGCGGCGAAGTTGGCGTCGTCATCTTCCGGAGGTCTTTTTTCAATTTTTGGGTCATGACTCCTCTAATTTGCCCCCCCCCCTGTTATGTCTCTGTTTACATCGATCTATCCACTATTCATCGCAGCATGCCATCTTTTTCTCTCTCTTCCCCCCCCCCCTCCCTTTCCCATTTTGTTTCCCACTCTCGCCACACTATCTCTTCGCAGAATGATTCTCGCTTTCTTGTGTGATCTTTCTGGACCTTGTGACTCGGACACCTTCGTAACGTGGACAATATTGACACAATTGCTTTGTTTGTCAAGTTTTGTTTTGTGGTATTTTTTTTTTTCTCCTTTTTCTCATTTTCCCAATATTGGCGTCATTCATCCCGTCCTCTGCCCATCGCCATCTTTTTTGTCCGAATTTATTCTCATATTGTCATATTCTCGAACCTGGATTTTGCCTTACACCTTGTCTGTTTTTTTTTTTTTTACTACTACTACTGGCCACCAAATTAGTCATCGATGAACAACATTTTTTTGCATTGTTTTGCCTGCTTGCATGTACATTTGGAGCCAGTTCCGGCAAGGGAGTTCTTTTTTTTTTCTTCATCGTACTATGTATCACGCATTTATTCTAGCCATGAAAGCAAGTATAGTATTTCAGCCCAGGAATAATTGTCCCTCTGAACGCAGTGATATTCAAGACCCACTCCAGAGTAAGCGGGAATTATATACGGCGAAGTCGGCCGAATTTATTGTGTGTTATTGTGTTCACGGTTGGGCAACGCCATGGAATTCGGTCCTCATCGTGGACGGGCTCTACCTCGAGAGCCAAAACTGACGAGCCCCAAACAATGGGAAGCATATAGGCAATGCCTTTCCCTAGAGCGGTTGGATGGATGGGATGTCCATGTGTGCCTGAGCTTCAGAAGCAGAAGGAGTGCATCACAGTGTCCAAACGTTCAGTCCACGCACGCCTAGTTGCACGTTTCCTCGGATATTGTTTGCTCGGGACTCCCAATGAGCAAGGGCGTGACGCATTGACCCGTGAGATCATCGAGTGCACGAACAAGCAGAGAAATTGGCTGGGCTCGCCCATTTGTACCTTTTTGGGCTAACTCGTGTACTTATGTGAGTTCTTTGTGAAGCAGTTTTTTTTTCATTTCCAGCAGCCTTTGACTTGCTATTCCCTAGTTTACAATCCCAAAGGCCCCACACCTTCACTGTCAATGAGTCAGAGTCCCATAGATTCCTTCGGGCAAGCAGAGGAGAGGGTGGCTCCTATGCTCCAACGGTCCTCGATCCCCGATAGCAGGCTGAGGCCGCTCGTGAGTATGTTTTGCTGACTTGTTCTTATTCCCTCATCGATGCATTCGGTTAGATCTTGCTTCGTGATGATAATCGCTGTGTCTTCACTGGTCTTTTGGATAAGTCTTTTGTGCATCATACACCGGGGGAATTCAAAGTGGCAGGACAGCGAGTCAATGTGGCTAAAATGGAAATGGGTGTAGAGGGAACAAAACCCAAGGCCAGTGAGACATATGTCGCTCACATTGTCAGTAAGTCTCTATCGGAGGACATCGATTGCCAGTCAGAATCGGGAACAAAGGTCGGTTTTTTTTCCGTGCCTCATGGTCTCTGTAATCTCCTTATCTGATTAATTTAGCTCGAGTGGGCAAAGAAGGCAGCGGCATTGATCGAGCGGTTTGGAGGTTTTTCCTCCATCCAGATGCTTGGGGATCATTGTCTGAACAGTCCGTTGAATGCATTCACAGCATCGGATACACCGCACAAGCAGTTCGACAGCCTCGACCTGTGGTTAGTGCCAGCTCTAGTACGTTTCTTTGTCACTTTTTACCCTTGTTTCTTGGATTGACTTGTTATCTAGGATGATGAGAACGTCATCATTCCCAATGTTTACGTTCCACAGCACTCTGGGGGCATCAATATGTTAAATGAATTTGGAATTCGACCAATTGTCAACTTCAAAGAGGCTAAAACCGAAGATGATCAGGTCATCCATCCTCCTGACCCACGTCTCATCGTCCTGCATGCAACCTGTGCATGGGTTCTTCATTCATCTGGCGCCATAGACCATGTACGGGAGCTTCTCTTTCGAGAACCTGAACCGATTTCGCTCAAGCCAAATGCAGTTCAAGAGCTGTCTGAAGCTCTCGAGATGTTGCGGTACACTCGGCACATTCAGCACATTTCCTTGGTGGCCTAATGGTTTTCACATTCCACCCAACCTCTCCCTTTACTTCAATGTTGTGTGTATTTCTCTGCTTCCACTTGCTTCCACACCAAATTGTGTCACCGGGTGTGGCGGGCCACGGACCCAGCTGGAGCGCGAATGTCGACCCGGCCGGTTTCAGTGCATTCGGTCGGTCTCGACGAAAAACAAACCAACATAACGATGGTGACTTATGTAATAGTTGTGCCCACCGTCGGAATGAGTAACATATCCGAAACTTGACTCCAATTAGCTGGGGAGGAGTCTGCTCTTGCACGGGCATTCAGTTTACGCATTCAAGACCCGCTACTCTGTAACGGGAATTGCAGGATTGAATTCACTGGCCAGCGAGTGGCGCATATCGCGTTGATCTGTGTTGACATCTGTGGCGGACGTGAGAGGATTGATACGAAGGGGATGGGAAGCTGGAGCTAGTAGTGGGATCAATACTGTGACGGAGATTGAGAACTTATGATGTGAGATGCCTGTTATGTGACGTACATGGATGGGGCGGGCGGGAGCCTGGAAAGCGGAAGAGGAGGGGGGGGAGGCTGTACGTAGTGCGGCTTACTCGAGGTTGGCTGTGCGTGGGTGGATATGTGGGGAAAGTGGGAAAGCTTAGGTTTTTCGTGGGAGGTTGTAAGTGGCGGGACCGTGCTTTTTTCGGGAATAGGTAAAAGGGGGGGGGAAGAAAAAGAAAGAGAATCGGAGTAAAGGTGCGCGGCCTCCTTGAGGCTTAGTGCCCGGTGGTGTCTATACGTGATTGTCAAGTTTTGTTTTGTGGTATTTTTTTTTCTCCCTTTCCTCATTTTCCCAATATTGGTGTCATTCATCCCGTCCTCTGTCCATCGCCATCTTTTTTGTCCGAATTTATTCTCATATTGTCATATTCTCGAACCTGGATTTTGCCTTACACCTTGTTGTTGTTGTTGTTTTTTTTTTTTTACTACTACTACTAGCTACCAAATTAGTCAACATTTTTGCATTGTTTGCCTGCTTGCATGTACATTTGGAGCCAGTTCCAGCATTTCTTCATACTATGTATCACGCATTTATTCTGGCCATGAAAGCAAGTTGAATACATGTTTCATCGTTTAGCACAAAGTTTATGGCAAGTGCGTACAGAGCACATTGCAGGATTGGATTCACTGGCTAGCGAGTTGGTGCACATCGCGTTGATCTGTGTTGACATGTGAGAGGATTGATGCGAAGGGGATTGGTGGGATCAATATTATGTTGGTGGATGACAGAGATTGAGGATTGATGAGGTGAGATGTCTGTTACGTGACGTACATGGGGGGGAGGTTGTACGTAGTGCGGCTTACTCGAGGTTGGCTGTGATATGTGGGGGAGTGGGGAAGCCTAGGCTTTTCGTGGGAGGTTGCAAGTGGTGAAACCCTGCTTTTTCGGGGATAGGTAAAAAGGGGAGAACCGGAGGAGTAAAGGTGCGCGGCCCTCTTGAGGCTTAGGTGTCTATACGTGATATTTCTCGATGGCGTTCGTGAGCCGAGATTAGGTGATTGCGAATGAGTAGATTTGTTGTTGATAGGTAAAAGGAAAAAAAAGAAAGAAAGAGAATCGGAGTAAAGGTGCACGGCCTTCTTGAGGCTTAGTGCCTGGTGGTGTTTATACGTGATGTTTCTCGATGGCGTTCGTGAGCCGAGCCTAGGTGATTGCAACTGAGCGGATTTGTTGTCAATGTTAGGAGTTGTCGTTAAATCGTTGAATGTCATTTTGGATGACCCATGGGTTGTTGTTTGGCCTGATGTGGGTCGACAAAACCGTCAAAAAGAAGGATGACAAGGAGCTTAGTAAGAGAGTCCGACAGTTGTCACATTTTTGGGAGTGTCAGCGGTGATGCTTTTGGATGCACTGCATGAGGGATAATGGGCAAAGGTATGGGGCCGTCCGGCCAACAGCTAGGGTTATACTAGCTGAGAACGGAATTGGGTGTCATGTTGATATCGTTCGGTGAATTTGGCGGTGGAACGAACACGCAGCAGCAGCGTGGGCTTCCAGTATCATAGGATAAACGGCGAATGGAGAAAGCTCAAGGGAGAAGCTAAATGCCATGTGGTCAGCATTTAGAGTGGCGTGAACAGTATTGAGGACCACACTGCTGAAAGCACTGGATGTGGCGTTCGCGATCAAGAGCTTAGTTGCGAACATATGCCCTTAGCTACTACATACTAATGTAACGTAACCGAATAACGGTGTAATTGCTGTCTGAGGGCACTAAGAGCGTTCGGCTGCCAACTGGGCAGCTTTTGACTTTGGATGGAAGCGTTTGCTATGGAGGACGGCATGGAAGGAAGGCTCAGCTAGAAGGCCACGACATTACGCCTGACGATAGCTCGAGTGGGGCACATCAAGAAACGAGCGACTCGACAGGATACAACGTGGCTCTGCTGCGCGGGCTTCACACAACTCCCAAGCGACGCGTAAGGACCCTTGTATTCTAGTTTAACGGTCCTGGGCACCAAGTTGGGCCAACTCACAGTTCTAAATTCGTCGCACAAAAGGTCTTGGGTCCCGCACTTCAGACGCTTTGACATCCTTCAGCGAACTAGCCAAATTGATGCCGGATGAATAGCAACAAGCTGAGGACAGATGTTGGCACTGAGCGTAGTTGATAGACTGTATGCACGTAGCTATAGGTAATGTACATCATGTAAGTCAAAATGATGATGATAAATCTATCATAATACCCCGCGGCCTCGTGATGTCGTGGCAATCCCGTCGATACGGGACTTTCTATACATGAAGTGTGGGTAGTCTGGTTGGTATCGTCTGGTGTCAGTGATCTTCGGGTTTAAGTCAAAATGATAGACCCTGCCGTACTGCCACGTGACAGCGAGGCCATGGGTGGGCCGTGGGAGTGTGGCTCTGTAAAAAAAACTAGCGCACTGTTCTCCAGGCAACTTCTTCTATCATGGGGAGGGCCTTGGGATACTGTCCGAGACTGCTGAGAGACGTGTGGATTGAGTTGAGCTAAGCGCGAAGTGTATGCTAGCGGATGAACGGCAACTAGCTCGCGCCAGAGTTTGCCACTTTCTTCGATCACCGGGAGCGCTTCGGAATCTATTCCAATAGAGGCTGGTATCCTGCCTAGCCTCGGAATGCCGCCCGAGTTTCCGGAGTGACGCCTCCAGAACTATGAGCGTTCGAGCCAAATCCGAGGTGTATGATTTCGGATAACTAGATTTGGCTCGATCTCTCGGGTGTCTTGCCGTGTCGCTCAATGAGCTAAGACGACACTTCGAAGCGCTCCCAGTGTGATTGAAGAAGGTACCGAACTCTGGCACCAGCTAGTTGCCATTCACCCATCATGATCGCACTGCACCTGGGGTTTGGCTAACTCGTTAAAATTTTGAAGCAAATCAGGGCCTAATGGTGTTGGATGAATAGCAGCAAGCTGGCGCCAGTGTCTGTAGATCACCGGGAGCACTTGGCCAGTCCAAGTTTGTGGAGTGACTCATTAGGAATCTTGAGTGATCGACCCAATGAACTCGGAGAGCATTCCGAGGCGCTCTTGGCGATCCAAGAAAATGTTAAACTCCGCTGCCAGCCAGTTGTCATCCTACCAACGGCGTATTTAACTCGATCGCTCCAGAATCTTAATGAGATCGGGCGGCATTCTGAAGCGCCCCTTGTGATTGAAAGTCGTTATCATACTTCATTCTAAATTCATTCTAAATCCCCTGAGACTTATGGACGTGAACTTGTTCTTCCATCATATTCTTGTACCGCTGATGCGCTGGAGGGCCTAGAAGACATGATGAGTTAGCGGCTATACGCGCTCTCATGCAGCAGTTGGTGCTGGGCACAATCACACCGCGTGCCACGGAACATCATCTTCCATCCTTCACAAAGCCAAGCACAGATCCACAAGACCGAGGTTTACTCCAACATGCTCTAGCCTAGCTTGTCCTGTCCTGTTCGTGTATTTGAAACAGGGGTTGCAGCATGCGGTGTGGTTTGTGTCTCTAGTTAGTTCGTTGATTCTTGGTGTTCACGCCCGGCACTGTGCGCTACACCAGCCTCGACGTGACTCGAGGTGGGCATATACTAGGATCAATTATCTCTTCGGTACGCGGTCGGTTGGGAGGCGTGTAAACGTCAGCACTAGACATTATGGACGGTAGAATCAGGAATTGTTGTCCGGGGAGAAACTAGGGCTACAATTGTTTTCTATTGTACAAAGGCTCTATATCCGCAGCCTTCACACTACTTCTATCAGACCACCTCCCCCTCACAGTGACCATCGGCAGGGGTACCCATCTCCTTTACAAAAGGAGATGGGTGACATGACCGATTGGTGGTGTGTCAATATCCACATATTTACGAGTGGGCCCCCATATGAGCGGGATCGACGACTCGAACGGTAGAGATTGTTTTGTAAGATCGAGAGCACTTGAACATCCTGCACAGACGGAAGAGAAGTTGAGCAGCGGGGTGTGCTCGAAGGAGTGAGGCAAAACCGATCTGTAGGGGTCAATAGCTGGAATGGGGGGGTATGCTTCGAGGTGGTCATCGGTGTGAGGCTGGAATGAAAAAATAGAGCGTAGGCCCGGGTTTGACAGTGGTCATGAATTGGAGTTATGTTGACGTCCTGCAGGATGGTAGAATATCAAGTAGCAAATCAGACAACCACTCGCAAAGCACAACTAGCCTTAGCCGCGTCACCGCATATGAACAGAACGCTAAAGAATATGCAAGCAGATGTTTTTAACGATGGGGTCGGTATCACAGGGTTCGTTAGGCTGAAGTAGTCTCTAATAAATAGAACGACGTTGCTTGCGCAGACAAGGTTCCATTGGAAGGCGATCAATCTGCGGGATATTCCCTACCGATGATTCCCCAGAGTATCGTCCGACGAGACAGGTAACAATCTTTCCCGTGATGGTCCATAGCCGCCAACCTCCGCCCACTCGCATTGCGCAGGGTCGCTGAGTGGCGCATCCAAGACACCAAGACAAAAATAAGCAATTGGCGACCTCCCATAAATGAGATGAATCGCGTGGTGATCGCACAGCTTGCAGTTCGGGTTGGCTTGATTACCCGCCCTCTGATGAGTGTCTATCCCCATCGTCGAGAACACTGGACCGGCAAGGTCCCCCCCAAAGGTTTTCCTGATGATCGATCATATTCTCTCAGCAGGAAGATGTGGCGGTCCCGATTCTCGCCGCTGCGTCCGATGCATTCCCTCCTCCCCAGTGGCGCCCGCTTTGTCTCGGACGAAGTATTGGATAAGCAGGTCGTGCTGATGCACGGAGGTCACCCACTCACGCGTCCCCGATCTTATAGCATAGCCTCAATATACTATAAAACGCACAATCCAGCCACGGAGCGGGGGGTTCATCGACTTCGACGTAGCTCGATTGGGTGGACAGAATGAGAAACCGAGTGGAAAGACAATAAACTGATGGCACTGAATTTACTTTATTTTCCAGAATCCTGCTAGGGCGCCAGCCAAACATAAGCTAAGCGCTCCGCTCTCGATTGCTGCAGCAAAATCTTTATGCCTTTTGTGAAATGAAATTTTGCTGGAAAGGCTTATCAATCCTGTTATCTTGAAGAAATAGCAGCTATCCGAGTTGTTGAACCATGACAACAAAGGGTGGGGACTGATGGTGCGGATCTGACCGTCACCTTCCCTCTCCGTGTAGATGAGACACCAGGCGAAAGATTCGGCATCGTGTCTGTAGAGACGTGGAATCAGGCCCTTCAATTTTATCAACTACTTGAAGATACAAGTGTGGTTCCCCGAGCGAGCCTCTGTTTGAAATGTTGATACTCATAACTGAGACAAGATATGGGAAGATATCAAGTAGCGGAGGATAATTTCACCTCAGTCCTGTTGTACGTAAACCGAGGAAAGACATGAAAGAGAAAAATCTCCCTCTGTGAGTGTAACGTTCGAATCGCGCACGCGCAAGGTAACAGGAATATCAAGAAAGGAAGTCCGACGCTGCACGTAAGTCGATATCTCGACTTCAAGCAGCATGCATGTAGAATACGGAAAGGGCAAGGATTGAAAGCTGAGTATGCAAAGGGTTTTTTTTCATCAGCAGATGACGAATGATGTTCGAATGAAAATCCCCTGAAATGAGAAACGTGTAAATACGGAGAGCATTTTGTTGAAAATGCATATGAACGGACTTTGTCGAGGCCGTTAAAAAGAGTTGACATACGAGGTTCAGCGTTTCGGCCATCCATGAGTATGGGGGTCTCCTTTGGCCACGGTTGGTCTTTCGGCATCTGGTCCTAGTGAGCCCATCGTGCCTCCTCATTCTACAACCTAAACCCAGGCTGCAATGCGGAGGGAGAGGTAGAGACGGTCACATCACCAGCTACTTCGCAAAGCAATAGCTGAAGAGTCCAGTCATATCGTTAGCATCGTCGAAAGGTGAAGGATACAGATAATATGTCAGACTGATGATGCAACGATATCCAAGGAGGCCCCTGTGTAGCCGGAATCGGAGACTAGCTAGAAAGGCGAAGAGAAAAGTCTTCGGGGTACGGCTCATTTAGGCATCTTGGTACATAGAAGTTGAGCAGCAGCGGGCTGGGTGTATTCGAGACGAGTTGTAAGGCATTGGAGAAAGAAACGAAGATGCTTGCAGTTAACTTGAAGTTGGTGGATCGGGTGAGGACGGAAGAAATAAAAATGTGGCAATGCTCGGGTTTGGACCGTCGGAGTGCACAGTCCGCGATAATGTCTCAAGATCTCTATACATCAAACCTCCACCCCTCTCGCACTCCCCGAGCTAGGCAAATTGGACGTCGGGATCACTTCAGCTGGCAGTGTTTTATATTCAAAGGGAAGAAGAATAGGTGTTGCATTCTCTGTCGCTAGGGCGGCGACCCCAACTGCACCGTGGAAGTTAACCTCCCCCCCCTCCCCTCCGTAGAGCAATTTTCTGGGCGTGAGGATTGTCTGCTACATCATTTTCCAGGGAGGTTCATCCATGGACGGCTTCTCATAGGTGGGAGCTAGTAACACGTACACGTATACAATGCACAAACGGAGGGGACCAATATTAATATCCAAGAACGAGAGTCGCATGTTTTGTGATAAAATTCGTCAGGTTAACTTTGTCCCATCATCGCATCCCTTTCATCTTTTTCCTCCCGGAGCTTGGCATACTCCATCACATTGACATGGTTCAAAGAATCAGGGAGGCCATGGCGTTTCCTGCTGTACTGCATAAAGCGTGCTTTCGCGGGCCCAATGGCGTCGGGTATATCGAGCCATGTTGCAAGCGCCCATGCATCTAAGGGGTTGGGGCGAGCCAGCGATGATCTTCTCTAGGTCCTTAGACAACAAATGCGTAGCCCTTCCGCATTGAAGTTTCCTTGAGGCGAGTATCAGAGAGATCCCCTCGTCCAACTCTTCGATACGACGAATGGTGTGCGTTGAATACGTGAAACGAAGAATTGTGTCGAGAATCGCTGCATCCTCCCCAATTTCGATCGTTCGCGCTCCGCTGTCGGTTTGCAGCCGATTGAACATATCGGAGAAAAAGGGAGAAGCTATGGAGAGGACGCATTTGTGCACGCGGAAGTCGATGCCATCGGTAGAACGCAGGACGACATCGCCATCCGCATATGTGAGATACGACGTGTCACCGCTCGAAGTGCTGGAGAGAGACATCCTAAAAAGCAAAATAGTGATACGGGCCCCGCCACGCCCGTTTTAAATTTCGTGTACTTTCGCAGTAAGTATAAATGATCATACTTTGTTCTACTTTGTTCACAGAACGTGGTGTAGTTTACTGATATCGAGATAGATCGAGATCAACCACTGGTCTTCACCTGACCGGGAGTGGCTGTGAATAAGCGCCTTGCGCCGTTTTCCGTGTCAACTTCTCTTCTGAACACCCCCTCGTCTAGCTCTCTTCCAAAACACTAGGCTGAGGTTCACAGCACTAGACAGTCGGCTGCGCAAGATGAGCGAGGCCGCGGAGCCACTTCTGCGCGTCCTAAAGATTGCAAGTGCTCAGAACCCACTCTGCCTCACAAGTTGATGCGAGCCAGCGAGCGCGCTTTCTTCCTTGGCGTGGGTTTGGCTAGGATGACTCCACTCGATATCGACCTACTGCATAGCCTGTCGACTAAGGTATCGTTTCGTTTCGACTGATAGCAGTTAAGCGCCGAGATTCCCGCATCTGGTCAGTTCTCAGTCAAGATCTTTATTCTCGTGAGCCTAAAAAGACCTCCTAGGAGAGAGCATTGATTGATAAGAGATGATATGAACGTGAGTCCGACCGTGTTGAGTCATTCAGGGATGACTGATTGACTCATCCGCGATTTGTCGCACATTAGGTCAGCTACAACCTACCCTTACGAGCATGCCGCTCCCTGAAGCCGATTAGAACGGTGTGCGACATTCTAGGGCACCTTGCAGCATTCTGAGGTCCCTGATCCACCTGTGCGAAATTGACTCATACCCCATGGTCTCTCGCCTAGGTTGTATATCATGGCACAGCTGATATCGGTGCTTGATTCTCCACACTCTAATGAAGTCTCATGGAAGTCCATAACTCACCATTTGTATAGCCACCGCGCTTATGGCCTCCAACCTTCGCACTCCGGGGCTGTGCAAGTCGCCTGGGTTGCACTCACTGCTTGATGGTTCAATAACTCATGAGACTAACCCTCCACCAGCCTTACACCAGCCTCCACAGGGCGCTTGGAGCACGGCGGCCGAAGTTATTATCCGATGTCCGGCGGATCGGAGTGGCAGCAATATTGACGCGGCTGAACCATTGCTGAGTCACCTGGCATCGGAGCACAGCATGTTATCGAATTATACCGAACTCCGACTGAATTTATGACGTCCTCAGATGACTCGATTCAGTCCAGCCTCATATAAACCGCCGTCACTCCGACTCTCTCCCTCTTCCTCCAATTCCTTCAACTGCGCTAGCTTTACATGCCCGCACTCGAACACACCCAGCGTACTTTCAACTTCTCTTCTACAACTCAAGATATCTTTCCCCCAGAGGCTTCAACGGAGCGGTCGGTCCCCATCCTGGCCACACAAAAACCTGCTCGCAGCCCCAAGTTTATGGACATTGACAACATCATCGGTCCTCAATCTCACTCTTCTCCGTCCCCGCCTCCCAATGGTACCGACGAAATGACTGAACCATCAAATTGTCGCTCTGTCCTAGTTGGCGACGTGCATATCTCTCCGTCCTCCCCATCGCAGCCCCTTAGTCACCGACATTCCCCTCCACCGACCAGGTCCCTCTCCCCACCGATCGATTCATATGGAGCCCGCGAACCACATGAGATGGAAGCATCGATAGAACCTCCTAGAAAGTCGTGGAAACACGCTACTGGGATTCGCCGAGGCATTCGTGTCGATAATATGATTTCTGTCGATGCTCCTACCCATTATCGGCGTCCTCCTGGATCCATTGCACCATACAATACCTCCACTTGGGCCCTACCAAAAGGAGGTAGCCCCACATCGGATACCCACTCCGCTCCACGTCTGCACCGCAGTGCCTTGTCACCTCTCCAATTGCCCCAGCATAGTCGATTGTACGATGACAGCCTGGATGACGAAGTTGGATTGGGATCTGCAGAGTCTGACGACCAAAAGTATCTGATTACTGCGGAGGATGGAGAACTCGTGTCCGTAGCTGATTCACCCGAAGCGCGCAAGCGACGACAGAATACCGTTGCGGCACGTCGGAGTCGACAGCGAAAATTGGAATACGTCCGCTCGCTCGAGACCCAGGTCGCCGAGCTTCAGAGTGAGCGTGATGGGCTTAGAACTCGATGCCAAAAGGCCGAGGAGAAGGTTCAGTGGTTAAAGGAGATGCTCATGGATGGTCGACGCAGCAGTTGAATCTAGCATATCGACTTCTTTCTCTTAACAACTTCCGACAAAACTCCTATTTAAAATTGCATCTTCAACAGATGCCCAACTTTTTCCGTGCGGATCGCTTCATGGGTTTCATTCTCCCGTTTCGCCCACTTATGGATCCGAAGGTGCTTTCTCCAACAAGCCCCCCACTTTCAATTGATGCACTTGTTCACATTGTTCGTTTGATTCACCTGCAATATCCCTTTCCTGTACTCAAGCGCTGTAATTTTTTGTTGTTATGGTTCTTGCGCTAGTCGTAATGTGTCGCGTTATATTTTTGTCCCTATACTTTCATTGCCTTCGTTCAGCAGGCATGTAATCAACTTTCTACTTAGTCCATAATGCATTGTGTTAGCGCCCGTACATTTCGATAATGACAATAGTAGGACGTGCAGCTTCTGAAGGACTTTGAACGGTAACTCGGTTCGGAGGGGGTATCAAGTGAGCTGCACGTCCTTACAGAGTGAATTATATTGAAAGTTTCCTTCCGGGCGGCTCACTTATCTGAATCACTTGTGCATGGGGATTACACACTATCCAATATCCAGTCCAGCGATTGCCCAGATGTTCATGTCGTTGCGAATTTCCTTCGCGTTGCTAATGAGAACTGGCCGGTTATTAGCTTGAGCCTGGCGCTCATTTTTGTTGTTTAAGCAACGATCATTGCAATAGAGACCGCTTGCAGGATCCGATGGCCAGAGATGGATTCCCAACCAGGGATCTAAATGATTGCATAGTATAGGATATGATTCTTGTGTTGGAATACGAGTCACATGATGAGACTGAACCGGAATATCCGGGAATATTCTACAGGTTACTAGGCGCCTGCGTAAGCGCTGGGCATAGAAGAGCCTGGAATGTTGTTGAGGAGTATAAATATGGGCGCTGGAGCACCGTGTGTATTTTAGTTATATTTTACATCTGGGTTGCGAGTGAACCGCTGAAGCGGGTTGCCATATTTGGAACGCCGCGTTTACAACATCTTGAGAAGACAGAGGCAGGGCCCGGTCAGAGTGATCGGCAGACGGCCGGAGTGAGGAGGCCGCCGCACAACACCGGATCTACGGGATCAGGGAGTTGATCAAAAAAAGGTCGGGTTTGATGACTCGAGTGTGCCGATCCGATCAGGGGTCAATGGGTAGTGCCGGAGGCGCGCGTTGCGGCTGTGCACGTGTTCGTTTGAAGTTTTACCGGCCCGACTGTTTGTGCGGATCTGCAGGATCAATGAGCCCAGGAATGAGCGCTGATGGGGGGTCGGCAAGCGAAGGTTACTCAATGGATCGCTTACGTAGGCGGAATAGAGGGTTGCAAAAATGTTTTGGTTGCTTTCTCACACAGGATTTTCGTGGAAAATCCCACTGGAGGATTATTGGAGTTGGAGCAGGATTTTCTTCGACCATTGTGTCGTTCCCCAGACACTCTTACTTTGGTTTGCGAGAGGTTGAGCGGAGCACGATTTTAATCATGTCATTCCACATACCACCGCCACGGCTTCGCTGGAAGAAATCCTCAGTGAAGGTATGTGCTCGTACTATCCTATGCATTGAAACTACCCGCATCTATCCTCCGGAGCCCGTGCAAGAAGGGAAATGCCCCTGATGCCCCACTTCGACGTAACTTCACCAATATATCTTAAACCGTTCGTGAGATCATCAGATGGCTGCCGGAAGTCATGCCACGATGGGGGAAGTCACGTATTGCGGGTGGAGGTGATAAAATGTCCACCTCTTGGGCACAAAGTTGACGGAATGCGATGCAACTTTTGTTAGGGTGAGTTGTTTTATTGCTCTCTAATCAAACGTTTTACTGAGGGGTTGCTGTAGATTAAAACCCTTGTGTCCATCGAAAGATGCCGCTTATCAAGCAAATTTGCTACGGCATACTGTACGAGATACTTGTATGCACACTCCCGGCCTCGAATTTCCTGGGCATCGATGCGCCAACGACTCATGCACGTACTCCCTCTTGTTTCTAATTGCGGAGCTCATGACAATGCTGCACTCACTCCAGTCTCCTTCACAGATTATCGCGTTAGCATCGGTATGTATCATCGGTGTGTGGTCGGTTTCGTTTTGGAACAGCATCGCCGCGATGGGCAATTGTAGATCATGGTATTGAGCTTGCACAGCCCATTTTTGACGTCGGTGATGATTGATTACATTGTACTTTACTGTAATGTATTGTAACATGAAATTCTACTACGTATTACGTCGCTGAATACTAGAAGGTATCTGATAAAATATGGTGCACAGAACTTGGGACCCGGACTTCGTCGGGTGAGTTGGTACAGCAATGCTGTACGGGGGCGTACTCATCCTCAAATCCATCGATGAAAGCTTCTATTACAGGTGCGTTGCATGACGGAAACACAATTTGTTGTACTTAACAAGGATCAAAAGGGAATATTGCCCCAGACTCGTGGACGAGAACTAAGGAAAAGGAAAAAAAAAAAAAAAGTTCCAGTACATACGCATATATGGCCGGAGTAAAGTGTCGTCAAACCGACAAGAGAATTCCATCAGTCAAGTAGAAGTAAAGAAAAGGTGCTGGTGACAGTCACTCCATGTCGCGCTTAAAAATGATCACAACCGTGATCAGTCATGCCGGCAGAATCACCTAAGCTGCCATGAGTGCCCTGCTAGAATATTGACGGCATATAATACACACTGTCCGGCTCTATTTGGAACGGCCAACTTCGGGAATATCCTCAAGCCAACTAGATAATAATGGCGTGAGATGGAAGCATGGTAAAATCACCAACGACACGTACTCCGGTTGGGTGGCGCCGCCGCCGCCGTTGATGGAACCTCTTTTGGCGCCTAGTCTGATAGTGAGCTACGACGTGAACATTAATTGGTATTTTTGGGACTCACTTGAGCCCTTAGGGGCAAGCGGACCCTTGAGCAGCTCCAAACGTCTGGCATATGCATCCACAGTAGGCTCGAGCGGTTCGCTACGTGCCGGGAGAGCCGCCGAGAAAGACACCCCAAACGCAGCCAAAAAGAGTACGAGGGTGGGAAGTTTGGTCAAAAACGTGAACATCCTGTTAAGTTCCTTCCTGGAGGGATTCTGTAACGGTTACTAGTTCCCTCAAAGGACGGCTTTATATAGGAACCGGAAGGGCACAACCTTCTCAAAGGGCAGCCTCGCAAGCATGCAGAAGAGACTGATATCAAAGGGTGATATGTCCAGCCGATATGCCAGCACATTGATGAGGCATATCATATGCATGTATCTCATGAGAATATTGCCCAGGTCATGGCATCCATTATGTTACCACATTGTCGAAGCTCATTGCTCAGCCATTAATATTAGATCCCTCCGGCTTCAGCGAGGCGCCCTGATGGGCCCTAGTAACCAGAAATCAGATAGAGCCTCGGGTGAGTCTGTAAGAAAAAAATCACCAGGGCCGTTCAACTAACTTGCGCTAAAAATGATCCGAACCCTAGGATATCCCCTGGTGGAGAGGTGGGGGATATTGAAACCGTCCCTCTTGTCAAATGGATAATCAATGCATACATACTTCAATAATGAGCAATGACCAATATTCAACACACAACCGATTGGGGTCATGACCCTATGGCGAGAATATCAAGGCTCGGCTAGGACTGAGTTGGGCACACATCTTGTCGCCAACAGCAATGAGGGCTTTAGACGAAAGAATATTCGGATTTCGCTAGTTGTTACTGTAACGGATATGAGGACTTGTGCCGGCAAGACTCCCGACCATGATTGGTTTATGCAATGGGGCCCCAATCCCATCACCTGATTCGGTGGCGACAGATGATATGCATATGAAATGGGTCCCTGATAACCCCTTATGGATACATATGTTTCAGCATGCTGAAGCAGTGGGAGGGCCGGGTTCTGACTTATCGTCAGCCGAAGGTCAGCAATTTCCCTTGCGGACACGTTTTTCAGCAGGCTGAAGCAGCGGGAGGGGTTCTGACCTTATCGTCAGCTGAAGGCCAGCAATTTCTATCGCCACAACCCGACGTCTCGGCCCAGCAGCGCCCGTTCGGCGCTGGAACGATCAATTATTGTTATTATATTAATACCATGATGTGAACTAGCCCAGGCATCTTCTAGACTGTAAGTCAATGCATGACGACTTTGGGCGCTCATGATGCTTCCGCAACGTTTACCGCTCGTCTACTTCCTCGTCATTGGTCCTGATCCGCGTTATTTGCCCTAGGGAATAAGAATGACCGATTTGTTCCGGCAGTGCGCTCGGTGCTCGAGTATCCCCGCCGAAACCCAGAACTCAAATGGATCGATCGCAGTGGGTGACGGATAGGGAAATTGTAATTTATTCTGCGATTTATGTGATAGTGCGATGGGTAAGTACGGAATTTTTTCTTATGGCGAAAGAGACCAGACCTGAGGGAAAAGTCGGGGAGGAGCAAATTCCTTTCTCCCTTTTATGCATAGCATTTACCCAGAGTGGCACAACGGCCCAACTAGGGAACAATAGTGAAAATGAAGAAGGGGGGCTTCCTGGCCACTCTTCCTTAGCCGCTCGTGTACCGCAAGCACAACCGCTGAAGTCTCAGCACATCCGGTACAGCCCGCAGGCGATTATTGATCATATGGGCCCGGCTGAGGACAACTCCCAAGTTTGTCCTCGCCTGTAATAGCACTCTTACTGTAAGGGGGGTATATTCTCGCCCTCAGTTCAGCCTCCTGAGGCTGATTCAGCTGGCCGAACGCCCTATTATCGCGGCACGATTCGGTTTGAACACGTTTCAGAGTTATTGTGCATATGTATGCATGGGGATTATTGTATCATGGTGTACCATAACAAGGACGGGACAACTGTTCTACCCTCGTGCGCCTTATCAGTCCTACTGCGCGCGGCCCACCATGGGCGAAAATAACGCGGGAAGGTATCCATCCGGAGTTGCGGGTGCGAGTACGTTGGCGACATGCATACATCCGTTTCATTTTTCACGAGTAGAGAGGCCCTCCGACAGCTTGTTCATCAACTCCTAGCTGGGGGGGGATGGAATTAACGTTCCGTCATTATTGAAAAACTCGCGACGCTAACGCATGCAGTACTTCGGGTATCGGAGATGAAGAAATAAATTACGTGCATACAAGCGAGCGCAAAGAAATATATAAACAAAAGCACAGGTATTAATGGCGCAAAATTTACAATAGCGCGTGAGCATTTGGGGTATATGATCAAAACAAGTGGGTGTTCAATAAGCACAAGAATAGAATATGGGGGGTATATGGGAAAGCTTTTCCGATCTGTGAGCGGATGGAAAATGAAGCACGAAGTCCGTATTCACTGAAATGAAATTTACGTCCGAGAAGAGGGATATTCTCAACGCTGACCGCCATGTTTTCCTTCATTCTGTGTGTGTCGAAGAAGAATCGGGGCCAAGATCAGGTTGTTGTTGGTTAAGCCTTTTGTCCCGCAGAGTGCGCCACTCAACGGAGTCCGAGCAAAACGTCGGTTGTTAGAACCGGAAAGGGCAATGGGCAAAATTGAGCAGAACTAGAAATGGCGAGGGGTTAATATAGCGCGCAAAGCACAACGGTGAAAGCTTTACGTACAAAAACGTGGGGCAGATGCTGGCGCAATTTTGAACAGAATATGTTGGAATCGTTTTGAGAGAGAGAGAGAAAGCTGACATGAGCAGCTCAGCTGGTACGTCCAGCGCTTCGGCCATCCATGAGCATCTCCTTCAGCCACTCGACCCTCTCCTCTGCCTTTTGGTATCGAGAAATGAGCCCCTCACGCTCATTTTTAAGCTCGGCAAGCTGAGTCTCGAGCGAGCGGACGTACTCGAGCTTTCGTTGCCGGCTCCGGCGTGCCGCAACGGTATTCTGTCGCCGCTTACGGGCTTCGGGTGAGTCAGCTACCGAAATGACAGTACCATCCTCCGCAGTAATCAGATATTTTTGGTCATCAGATTCCGCAGAGCAGCTCCTGAATTCACCACTATCCGAGTCATCGCCATTCAATTGGCTATGCTGCGGCAACTGGGAGCGAAGTGGTGCCTGGAGATGGGCCGTAGCATTCTGCTGCGGACGGGGAGTGGAACCAAAATCAGATGTGGAGTTAACTCCATTCTGTGGGGCTAAATCCGAACCCTTATAACGCTCCATGGATTGAGGTGGCCTCCTATAGTGGGTTGCGGCGTCAACCGGAACCATATTATCGACCGAAATGCCTCGACGATGCCCAGTAGCATGTTTCCGCGACTTTCTGGGTGGTTCCATGAGAGCTTCCATCTCATCTGATTCTCGAGATCGATGTGAGTCAACTGAGGGAGCTGGGGGAGAGAGGGAATGCGGAGGAGAGCGTGGGTGACTAATGAGCTGCAGTGTGGGGGGAGAGGCGGGATTGCCATGCGGAGGAGAGCGTGGGTGACTAATGAGCTGCGGGGTGGGGGGAGAGGCGGGATTGTCACTAGTTATCGCAGAGTGACGGTTAGGTAGTCCGGCCGCGTCGTTGGAAGGCGAAGCCTGAGATGGGTGGGGGGAAGGACAAATGATGTTATCTATCTGCATAGACTTGAAGTCGCGGACAGGTTTTTGTGTGGCCAGGATCGGCAACGATGGGAGGAATCGCTCTGTGAGAGGTTCTACAGCAAAGGGTGTCAATTCATCTTTGATGGACATGGAAGAGAGGCTGAGAGTGTCTCGAAACAAAGCCAAGTGGATGTTGGAAGGAAAGATTCGGAGAGATGTCCAAACCTTTATATATGCTTGACTCGTGAGAAGGTCATCAGAATTGAATTGGGTGGAGACGGAATAGAGTAATGCTGTGCAATGACTCAGCGTCGGGCTGGCCGTGTCATGTGTACCTTCGGAGATTACAGCATAGGTTTAGCCGTCGGTAATCGACCTCCAACTTATCTGGTGGCGGTGGAGGAGTGGAGCTTTGAACTATGTAATTCTACTTCACATGTTATCAAGGGTGACTAGCACAGCTCCGAAGTGGAGAAATGGAGCCGAGATCTACGCAGACGGAGGTGTGGATGCCTCGAGGCTCTGATTAGCACAAGGTACACCAGGGCAGCACTCTATCGGCCGTAAGAATTCCGAGACAGAGTCAAGCGCGGATCAGCTGTGCCCATACTACGATACGATTTCGAAGCGTGGGCCATGTGCAAGGAAGATCAGGGCGTCAGAGTACTGTGGAAACACCTCACCGGATTTAGCCGATTACGGTGGAGTTCCTGGATAAGTCGGTTTGTGTTACGTTATCGACTGACGCTCGCGTACGATAAACTCTCCGCATCTCCCAGCCTTCATCCGCCCATGTGGGTTTCACTTACATAAACTCCTGTCGGCCAAGGACGGAACTGTCGTGAATAATAGTTGGTAGAGGACGTGGCCTAGTCCAAGTCCGAGGGCATGTTCAAGCAAGAAAACTAGTGGGTTCATTCTGTCTTTACATCTCACATGATGAGGTGCACAGAACTGGTTCGCTTTGTATAGAGGACTATTTGACACAGGATTTACGCCAGCATCTTGGCAGGGGCAGGGAAAGTTACGGCGCCTACTCAAAGTCACCCTCGTCGTAAACTGGCGTAAACAATAGAGTCCATAAGGAACAGACGGTCATTTGAATTTCTCTTGCTCCTTGGTCATTTAGTGCGGTAAAAAAAAACCATATAACCACTTTGGGAAAGCAATGCACATGTCACCCTTTCATCGCCTCCAGTATCCGCAGGCTGAGCCGAACTCTGTAACCGATGCTAAACCGACAGGCACCACCATACATATCCCTTTCGGAGCTGCGTTTCCAAGAAGCGAGATAAGTATGAATGAAGGCAATACAAAAATGATTTAGACTTACACATGCATTGAAACAAGCGCATTGGATGTGCCGAATGTCTCTTCCCCTGATCCCTTTTAGTTTGTAAGAGTCATTTATGACGGAGCGATAACTAAACTCTGTCGCCGCTGAATTGGATAACTTTGGGGACGACTAACCGTGGAGCTCATGGGTTCTGGCGTTACATGGACCTCATCTTCAGCTTCAGTCTCCCAAAGAGACAACTTGCCATGTTGCTGGAACTTAGATTACACAGTACGACCACACCAGTTCCAAAAGCTAGACATCCCAAAACCGGGATAAAGGCAATGATGAATAATTTACTGCAGGCCGAAAGCCAAAAGGAGATTCTCCAAAACAGCGCGGATTTACGGCCATCAGTAAGCGCATCAACACACCACAACATAGTCATCTTCGGCGATTGCCGAAGGTATCCTGCCCACGCGGCATCTCTTTGAATTCTTTCTTCACAGCGGCACAACCGCAACAGCGGGGGTGAAAGGAATCTGGTTTATAGGACTGAGGCCGAGGTTTGTTTCCTGGTTGATACTTGTGTGATGTTACAAGCCAGCAAGGGTTGGACGCGATGCTAAGAGAATGTCGCAGCCGTTCGCCGTCCCGGGGGAGCCGCGTAACCAGACAAACTGGTTCTCGACCCCCTTGAGACATTTGGTTATCGAACGCCTGGAATCTTAGATCGCGTGCTTTCAAAGGCATTCGCGTTTTTTTTCTTCTCGGTCGTGACATAGGTGTGGCCAGCAGCGGCCTGTGAGTTTTTTGAAGCTGGGCGGTAGTGGTGGTAGCGTTGATTGAAAGAAGGTTCAACGCGTACAAACGACAACGTAATTACGCTACACGGATGGTCATGCCGAGAAACAGCGGGGTTATTGCCACCATCTTTGACATCCGAGCCCCGATGAAATCAACAAACTGGAATAGACCACCCCAGAAGGGCACACGCTTGGGCTTTCTAAACTTGGAGCGGCGGCAAAAAGAAGTTTTTGGGGGGGATCTGACCTAAATCTGGGATGGAGGAAAACTCGAGACTCGAGAGCGGTGGCTGTGGGTTGGAGAGTAAGTCTCGTTAGCGTTTTTCTTCCCATCGCCAGGTGACCTGAGTCTGTATCTGTGTTGGGCGCTAAATTAGGGAACTCGCGAGATGACTTTCGGTGGAAAGGGGAGATAGTGATGGCTGAGGGACGTAACAATATTATAGGATGTGAGTCGAACCCCAAGAACCACCGGAGGCGGAAAAGTGCGTCACAGTAGACGTAGATCTGTCACGATCTCCAGTAATCGCTCAGCTCAGGGAGGGAATGAATGGGTGCCGGGATAGGGAGTAGGGCAGCGGATCCGCGGAGGTCTCCGGTCCATCCTCACATCCTCGGATGTCTGACCTTTCTGCCACATATTACGTCTTGTATACATGGATATATTTGATGGAGCGCAACGGGGGAATTCATACAAATCAAAATAGTGGGTGTTGCAGTGATCCGCTTTGTTCCACATACCCAACACGCTGCGCACTCTAGTTGGATCGATCGAAGGGTTAGAGCGAGGATTTTCTATTCCAGAGGGTGACGAATTTCTTGTGTAAAGATAATTGCTGCTTGTCAAAATCCCTATCCAATTCGTTGTTGAAGGAAGCGACAATCTAAAAGGAAAGATGAACAATCCTTAAAATTTGGGTGAGAGCAGCGCTTCGTGGCCATGCTGACCGTTCAACTTCATTTGCTGTACCAACAGACGCTTAGTAAGCCATATGGAGGAGTGCATCCTTCGGCGAATAATTACGTAAATTGTGACCCTTTCGCTTACGTGTTTCTGCTTGGATGGCTCATGCGTCATCCTCTAGCTCTTTCTCCTCTTTCTGGTGTCTTCCTTTGAGTTTATCTATTCTTGGACGCATCAATTGCCCTCTGCCTACAAGCACTGTACCCCAACAATCCTTCTCAATCGATCACCAAGGAAGCGGGGCCATCACAACACTCGCCATTGGAGTTCTAGCCACAAAACCCATAGTTACACCCCCCACCATAGTATGGTAGCCACAGGGATGTATGCGGAGATCCAAGCATGTGGGAGACAATATATTGTTAAGTATCCATATTGCAGGTGGCTATGTCCCGTTTGGGGGGAATGCATATGGTCGCGTGATATAGGAGTGATGGGGTATGAATGTGGTCAAACGGGGGTGGCACTGCCACCACCCACTACACCTGACCTCCGTAGACCTTGCGCAGATTACACCGTTTGGGTTATTGAGGGAAGCGGCCTGGGCCCCACTGTCTCTGCCGACACACACGATTCAGATCCAGGGACATTTCGTTCACATGCCGATTATTTACATTGAAACCCTGACCGTACTTACAATACAAATAGCGGCTCCGATCGCGGCCTGCTCGATGTTCCGGAGCGCCACTTAGAGCTCTTGCACACTGTGTTGGACCGGCGAACAAGTCAAACGGGGTGCTAAAGGGGAAATCGGCCTGTAGTTGGTTGCAGATGGGTGTAGATGTGCAACATTGAGGAAAGGGTCTGAATGTCCAATTTTCCATTTGAATTCTGTGTCTGCTACCTGATACAAGGTTGCAATGTAGACCATGGGTCGAACGGGGTAAAGGCTGGTGAAACGGCGTAGATACAAATTCCTCTCTTCAGGCTTGTTGCTAGATCAAAATTGATAGTTCGGATGCAAATTTGAGGAAAATTTTCCGTTCCCCCCAAACCAAAAATCACTGGTAGAACAAGAAATCACCCCAGAATGCCTTCCCTCCCACAGAACGCATCTTCAAATGCATTTGACTCATCAATTCTGACCCTTCAGGCCACTTTCTCCAGTGGCATGACCTTGTTGACTACGGCTTCCACTGCCAACAACTTCCTCAGAGCTACAGATGGCCCGTTCGCAGAGTTGAAAGAGCTTATTGCACAACATACTTCCATCGAAGACAGGCCACAATTCCAACCACTTGTCCCCCCCGATCAAATTGTGAAGGGGATTGTGCAGAAAATATGGGGTCATTCATCTATTGAGACAGTCGGAGATATTGGCGATATACTGGAGAAGGGACTCGTTACGGATGATTTGAGCCTCGAAGGTGCGTTGGTGTCTTTGTTGCTTACACCGTTTAGAAATACTCAAGGACCCCCTGCAGTTTTTTTAGAAGCTTGCATTGCCGGTTACGCACAGAAAAAGGGGAAGTCCCCCAAGAAGTCATGAAGAGGTTCCGTTTACACAATCCCACTGAAGCGGGCCAAACGGCTTGGCAAACATGGCTTAAGCTTCACCGTAAGTTAACCACATACTCGCAAGATATTAGGAACTAATCATTTCCTAGCTGGAATTGACAGTCAAGAAGCAGCATGCCTGCGTAAATTACAGCAACAGGATATCGATAGGAAGTACCCTGACCAGGCAGAAGAAGCAAAAGCGTTCTATGATAAAATTCTGATACATTGCGGGGACCTTGTTTTATCGAAGGACGAGAGGGAGGCTCAACCAAATGAAGGCCTTTATCTGTTGCAGAAAATAACGGGAAAATATGCTGCTCAGGTATAGTACAGAATCCAGTAACTATCGCAATCGATTGTACTGAAAAATTTGCTGATAGCTCGCTGCACTCAGCTCCATTCATCCTGTTGGGGTGGCGTTAGTGGGGTTCATAGCAGATGACAAGCTTGCCCCTCGGGATTCGACTATCGCATTTACGAGCTCACCAATGATTGCGGAAATGGTCAAAGCTATGGGCCTACCCCTCACAGAGGATAGTGCCTTAGCCATGAGGAACTTCTACGACGGGATAAAGGCATTCAGGTACAAGGTTTATGCAGGAAAGGCACAAATAACTTACTCATATCCTTCCAGCCCATATCAACCCGACGCCATTAAACAGAGGTATGAGCAATTTGTCTCCTAGCCCGCATTGGCTGAAATAGGCGCAGAACCTTTCTTCAACATCTTGGGGCGTTTACGAACCCCGATAAATCTACCAGCGAGGTGTTTGGTGCCTCAAGCCTCATGAAGACCGTCGTGATGCACATGAAGCAAAGTGTCCATTTCAGCGATGATCTGGACAGGTATTTGGGAAATGGAACGGGAAACACGGCCATCAAATCAGAGGTTGAGGGCGATGCGAACAACGTGGATTACCACACACCCGCATTAAAAAGGAAGGAAGGCCTCGCCTTTGCAGACGAGACCTACGGCTCGCATCCCCAACGCCGCACTGAGTGTGCTGGGCGGCTTAAAGCAATCATTCGTATGTCCTTTTGCCGTGCCGTCTGATTGCTCATCTGACATCTACTTGTAGTGGAGGCAACAGGGATAACTGAGCTTGGGCACAACTGGAGAGTCGCCAACATACTTTCATTCATGCTTGAGCATCGTCTCCGTTTTGTTGGTTGGCATCGTGGTGTCCCACGCTTGAACAAGTCACTACCGTGCGATTGGACCCCACGCGAGTCTGCACGGTGTATAATGCAGCTCACTCACCAGGATCCGGAGCAGACGTTGAGGGTGGAACAAATGACAGATGGTGAGGAAAATGTCAATGAAACTTCAAAAAAACACAGCTCACCGGTTTGGGCTTACCAGACGAGTACCTGACGCGTGAGGTGCTACACTATGCACCAGATGCGAAAGGGAATATTACGAAATACCTATTGCCTGAACACGAGACAAGGAGGGCAATTGCGAGGACAGCGGTCGTCCCCGCATGAACCCAAAAACGTAAGGACAGCACGCCAAACTCCCCAACTGTGGAGATGGAAGGAGATTCGGTTGGTGATAATCAAATATCATCCCCGTCTTCCAAGCGACGCAAGAAGTCCAAAGCCACTCGCGCACGCACCCTCACGAAGGCAAAACCTCCCCGTGTGACACCTGGGGGCCACAACCAAATGAAAGAAGCCGCGGTACCAGAGAACGAGGTGAAAGGTCCACAGGACGATGGCATCGTACCCGAGACACCACCTCGCAACTCACCTGAACCGGGCGGGTCTTCATCATCATCAGTAAAGTTAGAGGCAATAAACCTGACAACGTTCCCATCAGGTGTACGCTCAGGCTTCCAGCAAGGGCGTGGACCGCAACTCCCTGATGACCCAGAAAACGACGTCTTCATGGAGCAAGCCGTTCCGGAATCACATACGCCAATGGTCATCCCTCCAATTAGGCTCATCCATCCAACACCGCATAGTACTCCCCTCAAAGTTCAACCAGTGTTGAAGATTAATGGAAGTACGCACCTCACTGTGAACGAAGGTCCAACGTCCCGGGCACCGTCGGAGGCACTGTCATCCGTATCAAGCCTAAGCGGTGAGCCTCCCACCTTTGACACCTTGTTCAGGTGTGCACGAAACTCAGTGTGGCGGGCTGCATCGAAAATGTTGCCGACGGTTCGTTTGAAGGCGCTAATGGAAGAAAACGTTGAACTCCTAGTCAACATCGACATCATTGCCCTGCACGTTACCGAGAAGGAGCCACCTCCTGAAGTCTTAGATGTCACTCAACACTGGAGAATGATTAGCGCCGTTGGAAACGAGCTTCATGACAGGGGGGCTGATGTAGGAAAGGTTGCCAGGAGGGTGGTCCAACTGCTTGACGAGTTGGAAGTGAACGACGACGAGGATGTGATAGCTACGTGGATACAGATGTTGCCCAGTTGAGTGACCCAAACATCACAACCGATCATTGGAAGGATACGTAGGTATCTTAAAATGAAAATATTGCATGCGTCATTATTAAACCTATGGGCTGGGCACAAGTGCAAGGCGTAAGCTCAGCAAACGTAAAATACATCGGGAAGTTATATGCTACAAATTATTCTAGAGTATATACAAAGTGAACGGAAAACGGTCACAGACAGCTATTGCGTGATGCTCTCCGACTACTACTTGCCGCTTAACTCTTCTGGAGTCGGCTTGTTTGGGGGAGCAGGAGGGCTCTCTGCAACTTTGAGCGCAAAAAGACCAGTTTTTGGCTGCCAGCGAATGGACTCAAACTCTTCTTGAGGCGGGTTTCCTGATCTCTTCAACATCTCGGTTGATCGGAATTCGATGCCCTCGAAAAGCTGCCTCCCAGAATCGGCAATGAAACGGACAACACGAGGGTAAATAGAGTCTTCGGCAGGGTAGATCCGCTGGCGGAATGCGCGTTTGAAGCGGTGAAGGCGACAGAGAATGAGACAAAAATGAAGGAGGCCAAAGTACTCTTCTTCGCTTAACTCGAATGGCCTACGCAGGCATATTTTTTTTAACACTTCGCATTTGAAGGTCACCTCCACCATATTGAACGGCGTACGCCCTCGGCTGGTTGTCGTCGTCATAATCCGGAAGCGATTGTATTCGAAGAGATCCTGTGAATACATGCGCGTCCATAGCTCTGTTGCTTCGGATGGTAATGTGTCGGGGCCCTGAGGGATGAGCGGGGCTGGTGCGTGATCCAGTAGGGTTTTGATTGTAGTTTTGTCAAATCCATGAGAAAAGACTTCACCAGTATATCCAAGCTCATAGACGCCAATGTACCCGCTTGGGGTATAATCCTGCATATTGATATCTCTGAGAAGGGCGTCAGGGAATCTTGCTTGGAGGTACCGCTTAAGGCTTTGGGCTTCCTCCTGTGTCTTGCAGAGTAGGTTAAGACAGTGCATCGAACCGTCCCACCTGTCCACTTTCTGATTCACCGTGCGGTCACGCACTTCTCGGTAGGCAAGAACGCCCCGCTGCTTGACCGCTTCCAAGTCATGACGTAGCTCCAGCGTAGGGCCTGACAGGCGTATGGATATGCCTAGCCATGTGTCAGTGGCGGTAACAGAGCCGGCCTCGGACAACGAAATAGCACTGGACGTGCCAGTAAAGGGTACGGACTGATTCGACAACGGAAGGGGATGTTGAGGTTGGTAGTACGAGAAAGGGATTTTGATAAACGCCGCCATCAGTGGAGCATGCGCACCGATGGGGAATGGTACTCTCATTTTCTTCCATTTGGCCCCTTCCAAGGCCGCGCTCAAATGCAGGCCCTCCTCGTATTTTAAATCCAGCCAGACTCCTTGAAGCACACCCTTCATTAAGGTAGAGAGGTTTTTGAACGGAGTAGGATCCCCCTCAGGGGCAAGCGCTTTCAGACATTGTTCCATGGCAAAGCGCTGAGTAGGGGGATCATCTTGTGGAGCTGCGAGCAGGAATTGCTGTGGGCGGGAACATGTAACGGTTTCCGTAACAACAAAGTCGAATCCCACAGTGATATCCCCCTTCATGATGCCGTTCGAAGCCTTGGCCTGAGCACGGCTCCGTATCTCCTGTTGAAGGGCATGTTCTGCTGCATGATCATGCAACGGTGAACATGATCGACAGACTGCAAAGCGTTTTTCACCATATTCCACCCTCCAATGAGGAACTCCCCACCGTTCCAGAGTGAGGGCAAAAGCCTGAGCAGAAGCACTGAGGGTGGAGTCGTGGACCTCGGTGTGAGTGCCGTCCGAGCCGTCGAAGATGGTCCCAATGGCTAATTTTTGAATTGGCCACGTCGGAAGTTCCATACCACCCAGTATGGCGCATGCATCGAGGGAAACGAGGAGGCAATAACGAAGATAGCCTCGTAGCTCTCCAATCCGACGTTCGATCTCACCAACCGTTTCATGGTGATAGTTCTCGGACTCCGCAATCATCCGGGATTGAAGCAGCTTCTCAAGGTAGACATCCGATTCATGCTTGAGTATCGCCATAGTTTCACGATGTGAAGGGAGGATTTCTGCGCGGCAGAGATGAGAAACGGTAGTCCGAACGTGGCGAAGAAGTTGTTTCAGCAACGAGTTCGTGCCTATAATCCGCTCCCTCCACTCAGACATTGGGAGCCAATTCAAACCGTCAGGGGAACGTTGCAAGTCAATATTAAGAATAGGCGACGGGATATAATGAAAAGGGGAATGGCATTCGATAAGCGGGAGGTGCAGGCGGAGCGGGTCGAAGCTGACTGGTCTCCGACAAAAGTCCACAAACTCGCGATATCTTTGAGAGGTGTTAAGGACACTTGTCCTCGTTGAAGGGGTGGCGTTCACCCATGAGGCGTACGATCCATCGTAGGAGCACATAGCATGGGTGTTCACCGCCATGATACGAATCGGCGTCTGACGGTAAGCGCGCTTCACGGTGCCACCTAGGACATCCTTTATGTATTAGACTGGGAATGAGGCGATAGCGATCAGCTTACGGGATAATTCTGTTCTCCAATTTTCAACGTGGGCCGCAGCCTCGGGGGTGGGGGAAAGTGGCTGAACGGGTCGAAGAGGCGCACCTGGCGAAAACATCACACTGTGTGAGAATAACAATTAAAACATTCCTAGACATACTATGCATACCTCGAATAACCATAGCATCTCTTAGCAAGGACGTTGTTCCTCCGTCCTGCGCCATGATCTGTTCAACTGAGATGAAGCGTGCGATATCTGGTGGTGGCGCCCTTAGTCTTGGCGGTGGATCGTAGGAGGAGGGCAGGGGGAGTGGACGATGGGGCGGGGATTCTGGACGGTACTGCGAGATGGGGACTGGGGTATGGGCCGATGGGATTTGGGCTTCGCTGAACCGAACGTCTTCCATGGATGGAGGAGGGTGACGACGTTCTGGGTCATACGGAGGTGCTGGCGGCTCCGCGGAGGATGGCAAGGGAAGTGAACGAGAAGGCTGGAATTCTGGTCGGTATTGGGGAATGGGAACGGAAGCTTGGGCCGATGGCATTCGGGCTTCATGGAATCGACCTTCCACGGCTGGAGGCGGGGCGTGGTGGCGTGGTGGAGCGTATGGAGGCTTTTCAGGCCCATGGCGATGGCGTGCAAAGGTTCCGGATCCTGAACGGTGCGTGAAATGGGAAGAAGGACGAGAGACTTCGTGGGGCGAAGGCGATCTGGAAGACACCAGACGTGGACGCCGGGAGCTTCGATGAAGTGGACGCTGCTCACCCTCTCGCACCTCAGAGCGATGGTACGAATCTGGTGGGAGACCAGGCGATCCTCTTCTTCGTGCAGGTGAGCGCTGGTGAGGGGAACGGCTTCGTCGACGCCACTGGTGAACGGAGCTTGGCCTCTGAGGGGGGACCTGTGGACGCGGCGAACGCCCCCTAGGCCTTCCACCGTGCTGGGAGCGGAGGCGAGAGGTGCGTGACGTTGATAGTACAGGAGAATTATCCCTTTCTGAGGCTGACGCAGAAGGCTCCTCTTCATCCCAGTCGTTCTCGCTAAGGAACTCTTCTGGATCGGATGAAACACCATCATCATCCTCCGGGCGGCGGAACGGATGACCATGGAATCTCAGCAGGATATGTCCATCCTGTGTCAAAGTGTACAGAGAAAAGAACCGAACCGCCCCAGGAGGGTACGTTGGTCCGGCGGGCCTGTAACGGTTGCGATAACGGGTATCGTCGAATATTGAGGCCATCTCATGCAATATGCCGAGCGATCCTGATGCTGCATAATCGATATTCTCTATGTAGTGCTGCACGCAGATGCATTCCGCAATACCCTGGTCATTGTCCATTGTCGCCTTCCTCATAGACTTCGTCCACTCGGATGGGTCAAGCCTCTTGAGGAAGACTTCTCCGAAAGTCTTTCCTACAGTCCAGCCGGCTTTACCGTCAGGGTATGCGAAGGGAATAGGCTCGGGCGATGGTATAGGCGGCGGCATAGGATGAACAAAACACCGCAAATACCGTCGCGCTCCATGGGGAA